CAGTAGTTCAGTGTTCAGGGTAACCTCTTTGTTCGTTCTATTTCATACCAAGTAAATAGACGACGATTTCATACGCTGACATATTCTCAAGTCTGTTTTTTACGCTCTAATAAAAACCGTATAAAGTCTGCAAAGTTTTCCAATCTCGACCCACAAATTCAAGGAGTGAGAATTCAGTAAAGGAAATTCCTTTAAATTAGCAATGTTGCATAACTATTTAGTTTTGAAATTACTCATTACTCCCTAAATTGAGAAAACTATTTAGCTTTTAGAAAATGTTTCTCAAGAAGTGGAGACTAAGCTGTGAAATATGATTGAAAACGTAACACCTTCGAGGGTTAGAAGTTTTCAAGGGGTGCCTTATTACTATAACATCATAATCTAGAGTTTAATTAAGCACTAGTTTCATGCTTACAAGGTACAATATTACTTAAAGTTACCGTTACAACATCGAGGAAGGTAGTTAATAAACTTAACCAATACTTAGCATAAACCGTAAAAACACAATACGTATTATTATTTATTGTGTATTATTTGTAATCATACAAATACTATACAGTGTGTAAATTAAATTAAGTAGTCTTGAAACAAATATGTATTATTTGAAACAAATCTGTATTATTTAAACCATCATAGATGGTAATATTATGTTTGTGGAATTTACTGTTAACATAGGTTCCGCAATTTTTTACAGCAACAATATTTTCAATAAAGTATATTGATTAAAAAGGTTAATATTTTTAACCCCTTTAACAGGGTAGGGGGTGGAGGTGACTTGTTTTTTTTTTTAATAACAACCCCTATTGAGTGACCCATCATTTTGAAGGGCTCGTCAAAATAAAAACAATGATGCAAACCCGAGGTAGATATTTCACCCCTAGCCTAAAGAGTAGGTATTCCAACATTTGATTCATGTGAAAAAAACACCCATTTTGGAATACCCGCCATTTTGACTAGGAGTGAGATATTCACCTCGGATTTGCGTCATTGCGTTTCTTTTGACGAGCGCTTCACTCAATAGGGGTTGTTATTTTAAAATATTTTTGATGTAACAAATTGCGGAACCTCTGTTAAAAATTATTGCCACAAACAGAATAATTGCCACAAACAAATTACAAATTTGTTACAAATAAATAACAAATAAATAACAAATAGATTGCCACAAACAAATCTGTTATTTTAAGATCGAAATAGATAGATATATCTATTTCGATCTTAAAATAACAGATTTGTTTCAAGACTTCATTTACAAAATGTATAAATATGTTAAGTGAAACATACTATTTTGGTCACACATATATGTTTTCTCATTCTTTTAAATCATGCCATTTAATAAAGAAATGTCTCAAAATATCATGAAGGCAATAACATTTAGACAGTTTATAGACTTTTATTACATCACTACATACATTTTTGCCTTGAGAGATAACTTGCTATGCTTAAAACATTGATTATGTTGCCAACCCAATTTATTATGGTGCGTAATAAAAATTATATCATTTGTTTACCTTTTGTAATAAATGAGCAGCGAGAAAGTAATTTTGGAAATCTAAAATCTGTTGAGTAAAAAGTAAAAAAGGTTTATGGGGTAGAAAAGTGTATGCAGTGCTCCGATTCTTATGCTCAGATAATTACCAGTACACTATATAAATATATAGCTATTGTTCTTATAATATAAGTAAACCTCTTATAAGTAATCGGATCATGGAATTTTCAGCGTACACAAATTAGAAAACTCTGGATGATAAAACACTTCTATAATGAAACAATAAACATTTTCTCAGTGAAGAGCTAAATTGTTTTTTCGTTGTGTACGCAGCAAAACAGTATTTAAATCGACTGCAGTACAAAGTTCAACACTCTTCTCCCTGTAAACATCATTATAAAGCAGAGAAAAGTTTTCCAATCTGCTAAACACACACTGGACCCAAACTCCCTCTTTGTACCTTTAAAGTAGTTTTACATTGTAAATTTTCTTTTTTGGTTGATTTTAAAAAGTCCCTCTGCCAAAAAAGAAAATAACAGTACTTTGTATCAACATTCTTTTCGAAAAATACATGTTAGGCCTAAAAAGCTTCATCAACTCTTGCAAGTAAGAATACCCTTTCCAACTTTCTACTCCAGGTATAACATGAAAATAAGTTTACCATTTAATATTCCACAATGCTTTGAAAATTGTAAACTGTAGAATATCATGTTATAAAAAATATCAAAGAGTTTCAAATTTTAAAACAATTTTTTTTTCAGTTTAACAATTGAAATTTGTGAGTGAAAAAAACTATAAAGATTAAATAAACCATATGCAGGTACTTATGTGCAAATGAACGGTATCTAGATGTTAATGTGGAAATAAACCGTGTGTAGGTACTTTATGCAAACAAACCATACTTAGGTATTATGTGAAAAAAATTGTAGCCTACGTAGGCACTTTGCACAAATAAACTTTATGTAGGTACTAATGTGCAAACAAACCATGTGGTTTTTGTTTAGTGGTTAGAGCGCAGAACTTCAAACCTTAGTTTTGAATCCAATGAATTACTAATGAAATATCTGGACCAACCTATGGGACGCTTTTTCATTGGTTTAAGCCTTATCTTCCTTAACCTTCCAAAAACACAAATGATTCGTCCCAGGGAACTTATTTATTGGACACTCCCTCCACTAAAAAGCCAAACAATAAATGTAGGTACTAACCTCGACTATTTCTAAGATAGGTAGCTTAAAACCCCCGCTTTGATTTATAATATAAAAGTAAGACAATTTTCCACACTGTAATTATTCCACAGTATATTACAACACCATAGTTTGCTGTTGTAGTTTCAGTAATTAAACCAGTCTAATTCAGCAGCGGTTTGTTCATTTCTGGATGCAAGGGTGATTTAAACACAGCTCTCTGTACAGACCGAACTGTAAATCCTTCATGTGTCATCCACACTCACTTTATTTTTCATTCCATGCCAACTCCCATTGTGGAGTTTAAATAATTAAATTATGGAATTTGAGTTTGTAATTTTAATTTGGATATTTGTAAAAGTATCTGTGTTTTGGCGATATGTAGAATAACTTTGCTATGTTTTACTTTTGTTTGTAACTTTTTAAATTTTTAAGTTTGTAGTCTGGTGGTAATCTTTTGTTGGATGGGGTAGTCAGAACAGGTCCTTTTCCGGATTAAACGGGCTACCATCGTATGTTTTGGAAATCACAATTTTTACCACCAAGACAATTGATTCGAGGTTTAAAAACATTTAGAGTGGTATTGATTTTTCTTTTCTCAACTATTTTTCAATTGTGGTTTGTTACTTACCTGGTTAATTTTCAATTGGTAAGACAACATATTGTATAATAGTTCTTCCCATACAGTTAACTAAAATTCATAAACATGTGACTTGGGTTCTGAACCACCAGGTTATGGCGATGTCTCACAGCTAAAAGCAATTAGTGATTGGCTAGATTTGAACAACAACTTTCGGACAGAATGTCCAGTACTCTGAATACTACACCAGGTCCCTCTTTTGTTGTATGAAGATACAACTACTTATACTTACTTATAACTACTTAACTACTGTACTTATAGGTCATAAAGTTAAGTCCTAATAAATGGTCTAATATATGTATTTAGGATGCAAGCCATATAGACTCTCTCATAATCTCATGGCATATTATCATTTGAATTCATGACGAAATGATTAATGTTCATTTCGTTATGAATTCAAATGATAATATACCATGAGATTATGGGAGAGTCTGTATGGCTTGCATTATTCATGTCTATACAAACATTATTCATGAATCCTTGTGAAAAAATACCTGTTGCTGCCAGTGAAGAATTTATAAATATCTAGCCTGCGACCGTAGATTTAATAAAGATGAATACAGAACATATTGGAATTGAAAACATGTATTCCACATATCCAATGCAGTTTATATTAGCTAAGTAGAGCTTGTCAGTAACATGTCAAATACTTTTATACTCCATGTCAGTCATGAGGATGACAATACACACAAAATGCATTGCATATTGCAGTTATTGAAAGCAATTCAGTTTATATTCCATAGCAATAAGTGGTACACACTAACACTTGGTATATATGTAAAACATGAAAATGAAGCAAATTATATACTTAAAAAACTAAATATTAGTCTACAAAAAGCTTGCAAAACCAGAATTAGGTTATAGGAGAAAATAATAAATTACTAGTGGCTTCTAGGGACATAAGTCCCTAAAAAGCTCAAATTTAAAACAAATTATTGTAATATTTAAACAAACTCAGAATCAATATAGATTTGTCTTGATAGATTAACCCTGTACACTATTTTGTTCTGTGTAAAACAGTCTCTTTGTTTGCTTTTGTTGGTGTTATTTTCAATAAAAAGTGTGAATCACTCTAGGAGCTTAACTCTGCCTAAAGCAGCAAACCTATACCGTAATTGATTGTGAATAAATACTGGTTTACTAAGGTAGTTTTAGTCTTGTGGTTAATTATGGTAAAAAAAGCCTTCCCAGATTGGAATTTTAGACATTGTCTGCGTAAAAAATTAAAAGGCATGTAAAGGTGCGTGGAGACATAGAAAAAATGGTTGAGATAAGCTTAGTTCGTGGTAAAACCGCTAAATTAGCAACCAATTATTATTTCTAATTTTACACTCCTTTTATAAAGGTTTGATAAAATTTGAGTAAAGGCATCCCATCCTAGATTTGTTTCTGATTACCATAAAAATATAAAATAGCATGAGGTGGTATTCCTCCTAAAAGTACGATTGACTTTACATTCTATTATATCAAATATTTAAACGTTCAGTGGGTTCATAGTTTAGACCACCAAATTTGAATAAAATAATTGATTTCAACATTCAAAGACATAATATAAAAGTCTCAACTATAGGCAACGTTATACCTATAACGTATACGTTATATACTGTTCAACTCAGAACGATCTTAAATGTTCGTCAACTTTCCATTCTTGATACATATCTTACAATCCTGTTAATTTCTGTTCCAGCTTTATCAAAAGAGAGGCTGCTGTTTTCCTGGGAGTGGACAAGGAGACGGAGGCTAGGGAGCGAGCAAGATGGCTAGAGAGGAGGAAGAGACTTTGCACCAGGAAATACGGCCTCAAGCCCGAGCACTGCCAGACCCCAAGGCCCACTGAATCAGTGAGTAATAATAATTGTAACGCTTAACTTAGAATCCCAAAATCTTATAAGACCATTCGTTTTTATGAGGAGACATTCTTGTTGGATGGTCTGGAAGGAATTATAAAATTCCCTTCCAAGGATTTAAATTATTGTCTTCCAATGTAAGATTGTCATCCAATGGTAGAAAAGATTGTCTTCCAATATAAGATTGTCATCCAATGGTTGATAAGATTGTCTTCCAATGTAAGATTGTCTTCCAATATAAGATTGTCATCCAATGGTTGATAAGATTGTCTTCCAATATAAGATTGTCATCCAATGGTAGATAAGATTGTCTTCCAATATAAGATTGTCATCCAATGTATGATAAGATTGTCAGCAAGTGGTTTATAGGATTCCAAAGAGTGATAAAATCATTTTTCAAGAAGTGATATTGTCTTCCCATGACAGAAATCTTCGTTGAAAGAGTTTTAAAACCGTTTTCCAAATCTTGGTGAAATCGCCTTCCAATGCTTGGTGATATTTTATTTAAGAGAAGGAGATGATTCTCTTAAAACTATTACAGTATATTAAGCTTATAGGAAAATATAGACGTATTCATAACAGTATGATTGTGATTCTAAAAGAATGATTTTTCGTTATAATTATTGGACTATATAGACTGTACATGGTAAATATTTGAGTCTTAAAAGTATCAGAAGTAAGCTTTAGTGAGGTCAATCAGAATTATAAAATAGATATTATAATGTCACCCCATCTGTAGCAATAACAATATATGAGAACAATGTAAAAAACCACCAACTCCAAACAATTCGTGTAGGTTTTAGTGATGTTTCACTTGTTTTCAACTTTATCTCTGAAAGTCTGTTTTCCTTTGTTCCATTTTCATTCAAATACATCGATACAACATTATTGAAACTTTGTACAAAAGCTTATTGGGGTAATTTACCCTCTAACTGTTTCCAAACTGAATGGATGTATCAACGTATTTTCCAACTCTTTGTGAAAAGGAACCATTTACTTCTTCATTACTGTAACGGTAACATTGCTGTTAACAATTGAAGCAATTTATAATTACAATTTACGATCCAAGCATACCTCTCCTAACATATTCAATAGGTTTTATTTGTAATTGTGCGAATAGAGACGATACACGTGTCTTTTACGAATGCAGTTTGCTTTTGAAAATGTAAGCTCTTATTTATAATATTCAACAAAGCTTTTCACTTTAAGTGGTCTAGTGAAAGGTTGTTAAAGTTTTCCTCGTGCAATATTATTTTCACTAAATAGGTTATAAGGAATTATTATATTTTGAAAATTTTTGCAGTTTAAAAGAGTTCCTTATTATTTAATCTATTTTAAATGTGTACACGCATCTATTATGAGAAACATACAATGTTACTTTTTAGTAATTACTAACTTTTTAAAGCGACATGTGTTGAAGACTGTGTTTTTCTATATACGAACCAGTAGGATGGTTTTATTTTTATAAAATATATAAATCAATTTGAAAACTAAATAAAAAAATGTGTGTAATATATTAATAGACCTCAAATTAGTTTGACTCAAGTCTTTAATTATAAATAAAAAAAACAATTCAACTCTATAATAAATGTTAATTTTTTTATATTTGATTGCTACCCAAAAAAATACACAAGTTCCCTATTTTTCATAATTCACAATATAGGATGTAATACGCACAAGAATAATTAAACTAAACAACTAATTAATATTTTGTGTATATATCTATACGAGAAGATTCGTTAAAATAATCACTCTGCTTTTGAGTGTAGGAAGGGAAAATAAATGCTAGGGAGATAACCAGATTAGAGACAGTTCTTCTTACTGAAAAGACTATCCTGCTATTAATGATCAATAGTTTTTGGTGACACCTTTTAAATACATGTATTATTCTAGAATGGTATAGTATTTTCTTTTGTGATGAAATCACATGTTGTATAACTTTTATGTTCTTTCTCTTGTAATTATTTTATTTTTCCATTAGAATATTTTGATTAACTCTGACGCCAAATGTTCATTTGTGTTGCTCGCAGGCTGATGGGGGGAAGGACGAAGGAGAAGATGCTCCGAAGTGGACGGAACCTCCTGTCCGACGGAAACCCTCAGTGGCCAAGATGACATTCAAGGGGATGGCTCTAGTGGTACAGGTAAGTGAGAACAAAACTTCTGAAAAATACAATAAAAACTGACAAGATTAAAAATATATATATAAAAATTGAAAAAAACTAAAAATATTATAACAAATATAAAAATAAAAAAATCTTTAAAGTTAAAAGTTAAAAGATATAACCAAATATATTTAAAAGTTATAAACAAAACAAAAACAAACTATTTTCAAAAATGTTTAGAGGATTTACGTATTTTTAGAACTCATTGGCTAATCATTTAAGCTTTGCAATGTTTTACCAAATATGATTCTTCTACAAAAATATATATTCGCAGTAAAAGTAAATTAAATCAGTTTACAAACTTGATAGAATTTTTCACCAGACCAAAACATCAGTTGGTGGTAGACCTGTTAAATTGATAGTTTGCAAAACGGAAACCACAAATGAATGGTTGTGGTTTAATACACAACAGAATGCAAACATCACTGTTGTCGGTTACAATATTAATTTTTCGTGTGAATCCATGGTTAAAAGATATAGGTTGACTCGGTTATCAAATCTGGTGTTACCTGTTTATTATGAGTCCTGTGAATTGGAAGTTGGGAATTTTGTTGATTTTTTTTTGTTGACTAAATTACTTTTTAATTTTTTTTTCAAATTACTTAAATTTACAATTGACATTTTAACCAAGTATTATTATATGGATATCAAGTTGTTTACATAGCATTATATTTGATTAGAAAAGTTCCTACATATGCATAAGATGTAATTGTTAGTAATGGAATAGTCTTATGGGAAATGCTCAACCAATCCTGTTAAACTATATTGAAAAACTAATAAGAAATTTTGATACAAAAAAGTTTTTAAACACTTAGTACCCTAAAAAACACATAAGTGTGCAAGTTCCATAATATTTATAATTATTATTTTTTCGTTTACTGAAATATCTAAGGACACAAATGTCAAACAAAATATTCACTTTCTAAACGAAAGAAGCTGATAGAGTTAAAGATATCAATAGAGTTGCCAACCTTTCACTAAAAATACACTACTGTGCATTACCACAGATAATATATTATCTGTGGCATTACACACTAAGTTGAAATTGTTCCCAGTTTTGCAGGAACGACAATAACTTAGTTTAGTTGAACCTTCCGACAATGCTCTTGTAAAATACTCTTTTTATCTTACACACAACCTTTTAAGTCCTGCCAAACTAAAAGGGAGGGTAGGGGGATGATTTCTCTTGTAAAATGTAGCATCTTTATATTCCAATCAACAGTCATCATGTCAAAGTAACAAAAAATACTTTCAATAGTAAGAGGCTCAATTGACTTCAATCTCTCAGAAAATTTGATTAAACTGGGTAGTGCAGTATGTATCTACATGCTACATATATTGAAGATTTGTCTACTTCATTGTCCAAATCAAAATATACAACATAACCAATTTTTGTAACCCACAATACAAATGTTCCATCAATAAAAGATTAACTGCAACCATTAGACTTTTTTATGTGTTTAATTTTGGTGACATTTGAATTCACTGATTTGACTAAATGTTCCTCTTATTTTATGGACGATTTTATCATTTCTACTTTATTCATTGGTTCATAACTGATTATAAACAAAAGAACATACAAATCATATGTTGTATTCAGATTAATTAAATAGCTGTAAAGTTTGGTTACAGAACACAAATCTTGGGGAACAAAACGTCCTCTACACAAACTGGAGAGAACTAACCTAAAAGTTATTTTTGGCAGATCCGTTAAAGATGACATGCCACAGGGTCCACTAACTTCTCAGATAGGACAAAAAATGTGAAAATCTCGTTAATAACTTTTTTCCCCCATTTTTGTCATTAATAACCTCTATTTTACTTTTTTTCTTTTGTCTGGTTTTATTGCACATAAATTAATCACAAAGACATGTAAGTTTTTGCTATGGTAACGTGAAAAAGACCTAAAAAAACATTCACAACCATCCCACTTTTACTAATTATTGTTTCCCCCCCCCCCCCCAAATAATATGTCAAAATCAGGTTCTTTTTTTACGCTACAACATTAATTACAAGTAAATTACATTTATAATTAATTTAATATTTTTTGACATTGTATAAAATGTCTACTTTATTACCCAAAGTCAACCATTCCACCTAACCAATCTCCACGTACCCTTTACTGCCCCCCTCCCCCTCACCTGAGCTGTATCTCTTGAGAGTATCGTGTTTTGCTTAATTTCTCTATTAGAACTCGGCAATCCGTCAAAACATATAGTACAGTTGTTCTGCATTGCATATTGAACGGTGTGGTGTACAGTGGGGAAGTGGGGGTGAGAGAGAGAAAGGGTTGAAAGTGGGCCAGATAACAATGATGTATCACCCGACCGACCCACACCATAAATGGAGCTGTTACATTAGTTACTTTTTGTCGACACGCAACTTTTGCAACCATGGTAGAGATTGTAGATGGATAACAGCAAAAACTACCAATGCATCAGCTGTTTGGGTAGACCCCTGATAAAATCGAACTGACAAGTATTAGGTTTGGTTAATCATTTTTTTTTATAATGAACATAATCATGACAAATTAAAAAATTGCATTTTTTGCATTTTTTGCATAATTTCAATATTTTATAACCCTTACCGATAAGGGTTATTGACAAGCTAATGGGAGAAATTACTCAAACTGCTGATACCGTTTATTTGGTATTTCTATATTATTATCCATTTTAAATATTAACACACTAAAAATAATGTGCAATGTCTTGCAGGAACTACTTAACTCTCTCATTTACACTTTTTGAATTTTTTACATTTATCTCATCATCTTTGTACAATGGCATCTCCAAATAGTGATTTTAAAATTGAAACTTATACACGACTCACATCTTTTATTAAAACTCGTCTCAACGAAATAAGAAACATCGTAGATCAACATGTTGAACAAGAAGAAACATTAACAGTTGTGCAACACGAAGCCTTAAAGACTCTCATGCAAGAAACCCAGAATAAGAAAGAAGACTTTGATTCTTATTTTTATCGAATTGTAAGTACATCAAGTGAAGACAGTCCAGCAATCCAGTCAAGTGGTTATATCTTCCGATGGAGCTCTGACAAATAGCTACTCTTCATTACAAACTACAGAAAAAGTACTCACCTTACAATCACAACTCGTTGAATTATTAAAACAAGAATTTTTTAAATTAAAAAAATGTGTTATGAACTCTAAAGACTTGTTAACTTATATTCTTCAGTCTCATAATGAAACTCCAAGGGGTCTTCAAAACTCTGATGATCATAATTTCAACGTATTAGGACTTCAGTGGTCTCCAGCAAACGTATTTAAGTTGTATCCCCAGCAAAGATGGCTTAGGTTCAAAAGCAGAAGTAGAAAAAAGCAACCAGCTGCTATAGCCAGCCTACGACAAACTGTGTTAATGTGTTTTATTCTAAACTAACTGTTGAAGTGAGGACACTTCAAGGCCGGGAGTATGTTAAGTTCTATCACCTAATAATTTTCTTTAGCCTTTATTTAGAACAGCTGATGTTTTAAAAATGATTCAAACTGTATAAATAAATATTATTGATTTCTGTTCTTCTTGAAAACATGACTTATTTTTTTCTCTCTTAATATTTCATTTTTATTCACAAACACTCCACAAACATGGTCCACCATGTTCCACCAAATGTTTCCACCAATGTTTCAAAAATGTTCCAACATGGTCAACCATGTTCCACCAATGTTCCAAAAATGTTCCAACATGTTCCACCATGTGTGGACCATGTTGGAACATTTTTGGAACATTGGTGGAACATGGTGGACCATGTTGGAACATTTTTGGAACATGGTAGAACATGGTGGACCATGTTGGAAATTTTTTGGAATATTGGAAGAACATGGTTGAACATTGGTTGGTGGAACATGGTGGACCATGTTGAAACATTTTTGGAACATTTTTGGAACATTTTTGGAACATGGTCCACCATCTTCCACCAACCAATGTTCAACCATGTTCCACCAATGTTCCAAAAATATTCCAACATGGTCCAGCATGTTCCACCAATGTTCCAAAAATGTTCCAACATGGTCCACCATGTTCCACCAATGTTCCAAAAATGTTCCAACATGGTCCACCATGTTCCACCAATTTTCCAAAAATGTTCCAACATGGTCCACCATGTTCCACCAATGTTCCACCATGTTCCAAAAATGTTCCACCATGTTCCACCAATGTTCCAAAAATGTTCCAACCATGGTGGACCATGTTGGAAATTTTTTTGGAACATGGTGGACCATGTTTGACCCAGCAATGTTCCAAAAATGTTCCAACATGGTCCACCATGTTCCAAAAATGTTCCAAAAATGTTCCAACATGGTCCACTATGTTCCACCAATGTTCCAAAAATGTTCCAACATGGTCCACCATGTCCCACCAATGTTCCAAAAATGTTCCAACCATGGTGGACCATGTTGGAAATTTTTTTGGAACATGGTGGACCATGTTTGGCCCAGCAATGTTCCAAAAATGTTCCAACATGGTCCACCATGTTCCACCAATGTTCCAAAAATGTTCCAACATGGTCCACCATGTTCCACCAATGTTCCAAAAATGTTCCAACATGGTCCACCATGTTCCACCAATGTTCCAAAAATATTCCAACATGGTCCACCATGTTCCACCAATGTTTCAAAAATGTTCCAACATGTTTTACCATGTTCCACCAATGTTCCAAAAATGTTCCAACATGGTCCACCAATGTTCCAAAAATGTTCCAAAATGGTCCACCATGTTCCACCAATTTTTCAAAAATGTTCCAACATGGTCCACTATGTTCCACCAATGTTCCAAAAATGTTCCAACATGGTCCACCATGTTCCACCAATGTTCCAAAAATGTTCCAACATGGTCCACCATGTTTCACTAATGTTCCAACATGTTCTATCATGTTCCTTCAATGTTTCAAAAATGTTCCAACATGGTCCACCATGTTCCACCAATGTTCCAAAAATGTTCCAACATGGTCCACCATGTTCC